ACACACAGCACAGGAAGCATCTTAATGACATTGCTCCGAGAGAGACAAGAGGAGAGTACTTGAGGGTAGGAACAGAAAGAGAAGTAGACATTTTGGAAGCGGGATAAAGAACTGAAATCAATGGATTCATGAGTACTGACAACGGGTAATGTTCTGTGGGCAGCACAAAGGCATTTCAGACACAATCCTCTCTTGCGCATTTATAATTTAGTTACCCAGGAAAGGAGACGTTCTGCTGGGACGTGTTTTGGAGTCCTTTTTAAAAATTCTTTTGTTTATGTGTGTGTGGTGGTTTCTTTTTTTTTTTTTTTGCATAAAATGTAAGAGCCCTTTATTTAAGGGCTTAGTTCTTGCCTGTGTTACAGGCTGCAAATATTTCTCTTCAGCTTTCATTTGTCCTTCAACTTGTTTTTTGCTTCTGAAGTATCTGATTTGCATGTGTGATCATATCTGTCAATCTTCCCTTTGGTGTTGCCTAAGCTTTGGTGTCATGATTCAATATCCTTTTCTTTTCTCTTTTAATAGCTGTTCTTCACAGAAAAAAAGCAATATCCTTTTCTACTTCAACTTTCTTTATCTGAATTTTCTTTCTTTTCTTTTTTTTTTTGAGACAGAGTCTCACTTTGTTGCCCAGACTACAGTGAGTGCCGTGGCGTCAGCCTTGCTCACAGCAACCTCAAACTCCTGGGCTCAAGCAATCCTCCTGCCTCAGCCTCCCGAGTAGCTGGGACTACAGGCACGCGCCACCATGCCCAGCTAATTTTTTCTATCTATATTAGTTGGCCAATTAATTTCTTTCTATTTATAGTAGAGACGGGGTCTCGCTCTTGCTCAGGCTGGTCTCGAACTCCTGAACTCAAACAATCCGCCTGCCTTGGCCTCCCAGAGAGCTAAGATTACAGGCGTGAGCCACCGCACCCAGCCTGAATTTTCTTCCAGTACTTTTTTTTTTTTTTTTTAACTCAGCATCACAGGGAAGATCTTCCAGTACTTTTGAACACTTAAATGTTTAAACAAACTGAAATTTATTTTGGTGTAAAATGTGAAGTAGGAATCTAAGGTTTTTCTTTTTTTGGTATCATTTTGTTTATTTCCCAATGGCTAATCAGTTATCACAATAACATTTATTGATCAGTAATTCTCTTTACCCCTCAGTAATGTTTTACAGAGGTGCAGACTGTGAAAATATGTAACTAATTTTTGTTTTCTTAAAATGTATGCATAAGGCCAGGTGCAGTGGCTCACACTTGTAATCTCAGCACTTTGGGAGGCTGAAGCAGCAGGATCACCTGAGCCTAGAAGTTTGAGACCAGCCTGAGCAACATAGTGAGACTCTATCTCCAGAAAAAATAAGAAATAAAAAAATTAGATGGGTGTGGTGGTGCACACCTATAGTCACAACTACTTTGGAGGCTGAGGCAGGAGGATAGCTTGAGCCCAGGAGTTTGAGGTTGTAGTGAGCTATGATTGAGCCACTGCACTCCAGCCTGGACAACAGAGTGAGACACTGTCTCAAATAAATAAATAAATGTGGTAGGAAAGGCATCTTATTTCTTTTAATACTCACAACAGCCACGCGGGGTCACTATTACTTAATTTCCCCTCAATTCCCACGTTACAGATAAGAAAACCAAGACCTGGAGATGAGTCATTTGGTTTGAGTTACTCACTCAAGAACCAGAGATTAGCCAGACCAGAGTTCAAACCAGATCCTTCTGATTCGTTCCCAGGCTGTCTGACTGCAGAGCCTCCAGGTTTTACAGAGACTCTGCAATGGTTCCCTGCAGCAGGGGTGACTCAGGGGAAACGGGCTCAATTAAAGTCACATGAAGTCACTCTCCTCCAGGAATGATCTGGATGCAGATGCTGTAGACCAGGCCCAGTGTTATCTGATGAGTCTGGAGATTAGAGTGGGAACATTGTGAAACATGTAATTCTCCTGCTGGGATGAGATTTGATTGAATTTAAAAACAAACAAACAAAAACTATACTGACACTGAGGCCAACGAACAAGTCCTCCAAACTGTAAAGGTATCAGCTCGACCACCCCGATCTCACCCGGGCTTCCCCAGCAGAAGCCCACCCGTCAAGCTGGTCAGAGCTGCCGGGTGAGCCCCGAGGGCTGTCCGCAGTGAGCAGAGTCACGAGGACTGCAGAATGTGACCTCCCAGCTAATTGAGGAAGGCCCTGTCACCGAGGCATGAAGCCAGGGATCCTTTGGCCTTTTGCTGCTAGAGACCTCAGCTGATTCGGGCCTCTCCCCTGCTCCCTGGAGCTGACCATAGTCCAGATTGTCCCAGACTGTGAGGTCATACACTACAAGTCTCTGCACTTTTTCTTTGTTAACAACTGCTAATCAATTTATTGAAGCAGTTGACTTAAGCATCTGCAGTGGTGACTTCAACCTCAACTGGTGGCGCAATACTAATGGAAATAATTCTGCTTAACAATCTCAGAAGGACTGTGCAAGTCAATGAGTCGCTTGTGGATTCTCATCTGCAAGCGGTCCCAAGTTTCATTCTTTATTTCATTATTTTTTTAATCTTTTTAAAATTTATTTTATTTCATTATTATTATTTTTTTGAGGCAGAGTCTCACTCTGTTGCCCGGGCTAGAGTGCCATGGCATCAGCCTAGCTTACAGCAACCTCAAACTCCTGGGCTCAAGCGATCCTTCTGCCTCAGCCTCCTGAGTAGCTGGGACTACAGGCATGTGCCACCATGCCAGGCTAATTTTTTCTGTATGTTTTTAGTTGGCCAATTAATTTCTTTCTATTTTTTTTAGTAGAGACGGGTCTCGCTCTTGCTCAGGCTGGTTTCGAACTCCTGACCTTGAGCGATCCTCCTGCCTGGGCCTCCCAGAGTGCTAGGTTGACAGGTGTGAGCCACCTCGCAGGTCCCAAGTTTTAGAACCTTCAGTACGAGGGGTTTTTCTTGTGGTGATTCTCAAAGTCTTGGTTAAGCATCAGAATGGGTCCTTTCACTTTGATGTTCTTTTCCTTTGTGCCTCTGATCAAGTCAGCACACACCTTCTCCAGGGTCTTTACGTTGTGGCTGGTTAGGGTAATTCTAATTTGGTGAATCGCCTCCTCTGGCTCCACAGGTGTTTTTCGGGTATCTTTAAAAACCATGACTGCAGCGCGGCTTCCTGACCGACTTGTTCCTCACCAGGAGGGAACAGCGGTGAGTCAGGAGCGGAAGCAGGCACAACAGGGCTCCGCCACACCTGCGACCCCGTCTTCCTCACAAAGAGGAGTCTCTGTACTTCTTTGAGCCCCGGTTTCTGCATCTATAAAATGGCAATAATCATAGCTGCCTATTGAGAGAGATCCTATGAAACCAAGGGCATCGAGGCTCTTAGCAAAGCCCTATGCAGTGGAAGGTGATACTGATAACCAGTCAAGTCCTTCCTCCCAGCCTCAGCATGGAAGATTCCCAAATGTTTCCAGAAGTCTGGGACGCTTGGATGTTGACTCAAAAGAATAAGATGGATCTCTTTCCTTACATAAAGGTATCCAGAATCTGCAGTCAGACTGTCAAGGTTTTAGTCTGAAATGTAGGTTCTTGGCATGCTCATGGCCAAAGAATGACTAGAAGCACCAAAGTTAGCCAAGCATGAAAACGAGGTTCATTGAGGAAAGATGGGATTATGGGGCAGGGGCAAGATATAGGTTCCATAGCATGACACATATGCCACAGGTGATGACCGGGCCCACTGTTGCTGCAAAGGGAGAGCCAACGGAAGGGTGCAAAAAGGGACTTTGTTATGTCTGGGTCTTGTTTTATAGTGCCCAGATTGGGATCTCCCTAGTGGCTCAGACATGACCATGGAACCACTTTGATTAGAGAGCTGGGAGTTGCATTACTATGCATGTGGTTTGGTCTAGGTCAATTTCAGGACTCTACAGGTGCTGCTTGTCCCCTGGGCTAGGGGATCCTTTGCATTCTTTTGCAGCTGGAGTGTAAGTTCTGATTGGCAGATTCGTAGGGTATTCCCTCCTCCCCAGATATGGCAGTCCTTGGGGAGATTAGGGTGGAGCAGGACCAGGATGGGGGCCATAGCACCCACCTTCATCCCTAGGTGACCCGCAATCCCTTGGTATCTACCTAACGATACCAGCTGAGAGGCAACTAGGCTAGTGGTAAAAAGCGTGGCTTTTGGACTTGGACAGATCCCCAAGAACTGAAGTCTTATGAAAGCCACCTGTGCCTCTGGCTAAGTTCATTTCTCTCTCCAAGCCTCAGTTTCCTCACCTGTAAATAAGTAATGGTAAACTTACCTCGGGGGGTTTCATAGGATTACATGAAATAACATAGGTCAAACACCTGACTCTTGGTATAGATCCCCTGGATGTATAATGCGTTTCCATTTCTGTAAAATAATAGTATATGCATACTCATGGGAAACAATTTAGAATATTCTCTAAACTGTAAGCAATATCTTGGTGTAGGAGTTGGGGAAAACAGGGACCTGCCTTTTTCTCTAGCAAAATTTCTGCTGCAAAGTTTAATCTGAAAAAAAAAAAAACATACAAAATTCAACTATATTTAAAACAAAAACTCGTCTAATATCGAGGTAAAAAATAAATCACATTTAAAAAAATAAATGAAGAAAGCGAAGGCAGAGCCAGGTGCAACTCTGGGAGACTGAGGAAGCATTTCTGCTCTCCGGCCCCCAGCCCAACCCCCGCCCTACAATCCCGCCCGCCGGGGGCCAGAGGGCTGCCTCCCTCCCTCACGAGACCCGCGCAGCCGGGCTGCAACCCCGCCGGCCACGGGGGGTGTTTCCAGGCTCCCCTGCAGGCCTGCCCGCCCCCAGGCCGCGACGAGACGGCGGGCGGGCGGGCGACACGCGGTGCCGGGCGGAGCCGGTCCCGGCCCGCGGCCCTGCTGAGTCAGCCCGGCGGGCGGCGCGCGCCACCGCGTGACCCGCGCCCACGTGACCCGCGCCGGGCCGCCCGCGCCGTCGCCACAGCAGCCGCGGGAGGCGTCCGCGTAAGTGGGGAGCGGGCTGGGGGGACCCTCCCCGCGGGTGGGGAGGCGCTGCCCCCGTCCTCCGACACCCCGGGGCCGGGGCCGGGGCCGGGCCCTGGGCGAGCCGCTCTCACGCCTTTCCCGGGCGGGCCCGCAGGGGCGATGGGACGGTAATCGGGGTGAGGGAAACGCGGCACCCCGCCGACGGCCGCGCCGGCCCCTCCGCCTGGGCCTTCCCGCTCCGGCGGACCGCAGCGCTGGGGGAGCAGACGCCCCCCTCCCGGAGCGGTTGCCTTTACCCCGTTGTGCTTTGGGGGAAACTGAGGACCCTCAAGGCAAGGCAGGCCGGTGGGTGCACTCCTCCGCTAGTACTCACCGGGCACACACCTCCCAGCCAAAGCCTGCATCGCGCCGCCTCTTCTAGTGGCCCAGGACCATCCCACGACCCCTCTGCTTGAGGAGGAGTCCGGGGGCAGGGTGTCCAGCCCGGGGGAGGCAGGGGTGTGGGAAATTGGGGCCGAGTGGAGCTGCAGGACAATGATAACAGCCAACGGGTCGAGTATTAACTGTGTGGTGTACACGCATTCTGTCATTTAGTATCCCCCATCGTGAAATCTGCCAGGTAGGTACTATGGTCCCCATTTTTACGTGGGAGGAAGGAGGGTCTGAGAAGCTGCTGCTGAGAGGAGCTGAGATTAGAACCCAGGTCCGTCCCGCGGTAGCGCCTCCTGGCGGCCGGTGCGTGGCGGAGGCGGTTGGCCTAGCCTGTTGCTCTGTGCGCTGAAAGGGACTTTTCTTGGCTGGAACAGCTTGGGAAGGGGGTTTGTTGCCGGGCGAGAGGGGCGTCCCCCACCCCCTCAGCCACCTCCATCCCCATCTCTGCCCCTTGCAATCGATTCCTATTGTCATGCCCTCTGCCCCGCTGCAGGACAAGATGAAGCTCATCATCCTGGACGACTATTCTCAGGCCAGCGAGTGGGCGGCCAAATACATCAGGAACCGCATCATCCAGTTTAACCCAGGGCCAGACAAGTACTTCACCCTGGGGCTCCCCACTGGTGCGTTGTTGGGTGGAGGGAGTGGGCACCGGGGGCTTTTAAGGGGCCAGGTACCGGGACTCACTCAGCCAGGGGACGTCGCGGAGGGCTCTGAGGTCGTGTTGCCATGAGAGAACACCTCCAACTGCCCCCTTCGCCTACAAAACGGAGGACTCAGCTTCCTCTGTGGGTGGGTTTGGTTGCTGCCTGCTCTTGCTGAATCCTGGAGCAGGAGGGATCTTGGTTAGGGAGGAGGAACTTGGTTTTCGAGCTACATCCTAAGTCAGCCCTGTCAGTCAGGGTTCCTTAACAGAATTAAGTCCCCATGCCTTAAGGCATCCATTTTATGTAATGAATCGATTCCCCTTGCGTGCATCTAGAAGGTACTAGCTAAGCACTATCCTTGGGAGAACTGAGAAGATAGTCATTCAGATAATTTTCTGTAAGGCTTAATTAAACACTGAACTGAAATAAGAAAGTTCCAGTGTCTTTTGGAAAAAGTCAGAATGTTGCCTATTCAGGAAGATATTTTGACTCCAGTTCCTCAAGGCAAATGTCTTATTTCTTTCAGAAATGGGTGGATTTGCCCAAATGGCGCCATACCTGACCCATCCACTAGAGTGGGGGAGTCATCAAATTTTTTCTTTAAATGACCAAATAGTAAATATTTTAGGTTTCATTGGCCATATGATCTCCATTGCAGTGACTTAACTCTGCCGTTGTAGTGTGAAAGCAGCTACAGACAACATATAAATGAATGAGTGTGGCCATATGCCAATAAAACTGTGTGTATGGACACTGAATTTGAATTTATATAATTTTCACATGTTACAAAACATTCTTCTTTGACTTTTGAAAATGATTTAAAAATGTAAAAACCATTCTTAACTCATACACTTTACAAAAACAGGCAGCAGGTCAGATTTGGCCTGTGGGCTGAAGTTTGCACTGGAGGTTTGCAGGAGCAGCATCCACCTGTACCTGTGAAACCGCAGCCTCGGGCCCTGTGGGTGCTGTGCTCACATCCTAACTGTGGCCCCACCCAACCTCTGCTTGGGTCAGACTCTGGGCTTTGCTGAAACCCCTGCCTAGTTCCCATCATTGCAGAATCAGATCCAAGCTCTTCAGAGTAGCATTCAAGACTCTCCAAGACCTGGCCTTGCCCTGCCTGTCATGCTTGAACCAGCATACAGTTTCCATACGGGTTCCTTGGAACATTCCTTCTGTTAGATGCAGCACCAGTCAGGCTTCTGGGTTGAAACCACAGAAACCAACTCCAGCTAAATTAAGCAGAAAAGGAGCTTGTTGGCTAGATATTGGGGGAGCTCACAGAATGGATGGGAAGGCTAGAGGTCTGCAGAATGGCAGGAGTGGGGAAGCTGTGTGGCTCAGGCATGGCTAAGGCCATGTCACAGGGACTGATTACTTTGGGTGGGGTAGGGGGAGCTGCCACTGTCACTCATTCAGCAGATATTTATTGAATCTCCTCTGTATGCAAAGCTATTCTAGGCTCTGGGGATACAGTAATGAACAAAAAGGATATGAATTCCTACCTTCCTGACATTTAAATTACAGTGGGAGAGACAGATAACAAATAAGTTAATTAGCAAAATATAGAGTATGTCAGATGGTGATAAGAGGGAAAGAGAAAAGTGAAGCAGGAAAGAAGACTAGGGGATGTCCAGGTGCAGGGGTAGGGGGTTGCAGTGTTGGATATGGTGGCAGGGAAGGGCTCTCTGAGAAAGTAGAATTTGAGGAGAGGCCTGAAGGGGTGAGAGTTAGCCATGCAGATACTCGAAGACCATCTCTGGTAGAGGGGAAAGCATGTGCAAAGGCCCTGAGGTCGAAGTGCCTGGAGCAATCAGGGAGAGGTAGCCAGGGACCAAGTTATGTGGAGCCTTTGTAAGGACTGGTTATTACTGAAGGTGAAATGAGATGCCATTGGGGGGGGTTTTAAAAAGGAGTAACACAATCTGATTTGGATGGGGTTTTTGCCTTCCAACCTTTTTGTTTTAAAAAATTGCAAATACTCAGAAAAGTTGAAAAACCAGTGCAGTATCAGTCACCTAACTTCCCCAATTGTTAACATTTTGCCACATTTGCATTTCTCTTTCTCTGGCTCATGTTTCATGTTCTCTGTCAACACGTTTTTTTCTGATCTATTTGAAATTAAGTTTCATATATCCTGACACTTTAAACCCTTCAGCATGTATCTCCTGGGATTAAGAATATTCTCTTACATAGTTATGATGCCATTATCATGCCTAAGAAAATGAAAAATCATCCTATATCATCTAATATACAAACTGTATTCAAAATTTTTTCCTAATTGTCCACATTTATCTTTTTTGGGTGTTTTTTTTTTGAGTCTTGCTCTGCCACCCAGGCTAGAGTGCAGTGGCATCATCATAGCTCACAGCAATCTCAAACTCATGGGCTCAAGTGATCCTCCTGCCTCAGCTTCCCGCTGGGACTATAGACATGTGCCACCATGCCCGGCTAATTTTTTTATTTTTAGTAGAGACAGGGGTCTCTGTCTTGCTTAGGCTGATCTCGAACTCCTGACCACAAGCAGTCTTCCCACCTCAGCCTTCTAGAGTGTTAGGATTACAGGCATGAGCCACTGTGCTTGGCTGGGTATTATCTTTTATAGTTTTTTTTTTTAATTAATCGGTGTCCAGGCCAGGCACGGTGGCTCACACCTGTAATCCTAGCACTCTGGGAGGCTGAGGCGGGCAGATCGCTCAAGGTCAGGAGTTCGAAATCAGCCTGAGCAAGAGCGAGATCCTGTCTCTACTAAAATAGAAAGAAATTAATTGGACAACTAAATATAGAAAAAAAATGAGCAGGACATGGCACATTTCTGTAGTCCCAGCTACTCGGGAGGCTGAGGCAGGAGGATCACTTGAGCCAGGAGTTTGAGGTTGCTGTGAGCTAGGCTGACGCCATGGCATTCTAGCCTGGGCAGCAGAGTGAGACTCTGTCTCAAAAAAAAAAAAAAATCGGTGTCCAGTCAGGGTTCATGCATCTTTATTCTTGATATACAGTGTCCTCCTGCCTTTTATTATGTGTGTGTTTTATGACATTTTTTTTTTAGGTAAACTTCTTTGTTATATAACCAATAATCTTAAATCTTAGAACATTACCATTTTAACAGGTCACCTTTTAGTCTTTATGTGCAGTTTTCACATAGTTTTATTCAATATGTTTAAAATGTAGTTAACATTGGAGACATTTTAGCTACTGTGTCTTGCTCCTCTGCATCCTTATCTCATGGCCCTTTCCTCGCACGTAGTAGTTGTTCAGGGAGCATCATGTCAGTCGTTAAGTCTGACGTTCACTCGGGTGTTAATCAGAGTGATTTCAATCATCAGTGTGCTGGGCACTGGGCAGTCAATAAGGCAGACACAGCCCTGCCCTCCTGCAGCTTGCAGTCTAGTGGGGAAAGCAGCACTAAACAAGCAGTTAATGGATGGATGGCAGTTAGGATTGGAGCACTGGGTAGGACTTCACATCTGGCAGGTCTTGTAGAGCAGCCCTGATTCACTTGTGTGTGCCGCCTGGGCATGCAGGAGCTGGGGGCTGACGGGGCCTCTCTTGCAGGGAGCACCCCCCTTGGCTGCTATAAGAAGCTGATTGAATACTACAAGAATGGGGACCTGTCCTTTAAATATGTGAAGACCTTCAACATGGACGAGTATGTGGGTGAGTCTTCCCTGACTGCAGGAGAATCAGGCTGTTCTCACTGGTCCAGCCCTGGAGAGGGATGGTGTTTGGTTATAAGCTCGGTTATCAGTACCTATCTCTTTCAGGCTGTGGTTCACTCAGCTGTAAAATGGGGCAAATAAAGCTGCCCTTTTAGGTTGTAAGCATTAAATGATATAATTCATATAGAAATTTCTTATATATAACACTTAATAAATATTAGTGTATATTTTCCCCCTCCGCCAGCTCCTCAACTCCATGCCATTTGTTTCTGGAACAAATGATTGCAGATGGGATCCTGGCTGGGGCGTGTCCCCAGGGTCCATATCTGGACTTTCTCTCCAGGGTGCATCCTCCAGCTCCCCTTTCTGCCTTGGAGGGGAGCTGAGACTGGTGTTCGTTCTGCTGCTGAAAAGCTATATACCTTTATCACCCCCCCTTCCCCCCAGTCATTTTGTAATGGCTTCACTTTAAGCACTTTTTAAAAAAAAATTGTGGTAAAATACACATAACATGAAATTTACCATCTTAACCACTTTTATATGTATAGTTCAGTAGTGTTAAGTACCTTCACATTGGTGTGCAACCAATTTCTAGAACACTTTTCACATTGTAAAACTGAGACTCTATACCCATTAAACAACAACTTCCAATTTCCCCCTTTCCCCAGCCCCGGAAACCACCGTTTTACTTTCTGTTTCTATGAATTTGACTACTCATATAAGTAGAATCATAAAGTATTTGTCTTTTTGTAACTGGCTTCTTTCACTTGGCAAAATGTTCTCAAAGTTCACCCATGTTATAGCATCTGAATCTCCCTCCTTTTTAAGGCTGACTTTAAATATTCTAATATTCTTTTTTTTTTTTTTTGAGTTATATGTCTTTTTAAAAAAAATATTCTAATAGGATTAGGGGTACAAGTGGAATTCCGTGACATGTATATGTTGTGTAGTGGTGGAGTCTGGGCTTTTGGTGTACCCATCATGAGAGTGGTGTCCATTGTACCCCGTAGATAATTTTTTATTCCTCAACTTTAAATATTCTTAATGTTTAACATTAAACATTATATATTTTCTTTAAACATTCTTTTCCTTCCTGGCTAAAAAAAAAAAAAAAAATTTTGGGAAGCCTGGAGGTCATTCTCTCCAACCACCTGGTATTCAAGTTGGGATTCAGGCTGATCAGGGTAACGGGGTGGATGGTGGGGGGAGGGGTGTGCTTGCTTTCTTTCCAGATGGGCCCGCCCTACCCCAGTGGCCAGGCCACTGCCAGAGGCCCAGAGCATCCCCAACCTCTGGCTTATGGTCATTCCCTTGTGAAAAGGAGATCAGAATGTGGGGATTTCCCAGGCCTCTGGTGTGTAACTACTCCAGCCCAGCCCTGTGGTCACAGATGGTGGCAGTGGGTGGGTAGACACTTACGCACTCCAGCTTAGCCTGTTCCAAGTGGCTGGAGGTCAGAGGACTGGTGTCCAAGGCTCCCTGATGGGCAGTGCAATCCCTGAAGTCTCTGCAGGTCAGGATGGTGTCCTGGCATCGTCCTTTGGAGGAGGGCTCTGGCTCAGCCTGAGTGTCCCATGTCCCCATAGGCCTTCCTCGAGAACACCCAGAGAGTTACCACTCCTTCATGTGGAACAACTTCTTCAAGCACATTGACATCCACCCGGAAAACACCCACATTCTGGACGGGAATGCAGCTGACCTACAGGCTGAATGTGATGCCTTTGAAGAGAAGATCAAGGCTGCAGGCGGGATCGAGCTATTTGTTGGAGGTGAGTATGGGAAGGAGGACCAGCTGTCATCCCTGTCTCCAAACAGCATCCTCTGTTTGCTAGTGACAGTAGGGCCACTCACCGCTATGCTATGTGGAGGCAGGGAAGGCATGGAGAAAGCGGGAGCCCTAGGTCCCTGCCCTGGCTCTGCTACTCAGGAGCTGGGTTATCGTGGAGATCGCCTATTCCTGCATTTGATGCGTTGTCTGTAAATTGAGAGGTTTGGTTTTGGACTCTGAGAATCTCTGTACTCCCCAGTCTTGAGATTTTATGGGTCAGTCATGGAACTTATCTAAACATTTAAAGTCATGGACTCATGTAGTTTCAGAAGATTCCACACAGCCTCTGCATGCTATATAGATAGCCAGTTGAACCCCAGAGAAGTTATGTGATTCACTCAAAGGCAGCCGGCTGGGAGCAGTGGCGAGAAAGTGGGATCCTCAGGTGTCTGCCTCTCAGATCAGTGCTCTTGTTCCTACTTTGGGCTGCCCTTTTATGTGTCCATCTGTTGCCACCTCTGGCGTCCCCCACAGGGGCGTAAAGTTGGGCTGCCTTTTACCACTCTAGATTTAACTCTTCGGTACCTCAAGGTGGGGAAGAGGAGAGCAGGAGCTCTCATGTTCTGAGATTTTTAAAGCTTGGAAGCCCCTGTCTGGGTCCTGTGTGTGTTTTATTTGCTGCAACTCTGTCCCAGCAGTAGGACCCCCCAGACTACAGGCAGGAGAGACATAGAAGTTACACTTTCCTGACAATCTGGGGAGGCAGAAACTATTGGGAGTGCTCCTTTCTTAGGTTTTTGAGGGTGATGGCAAGTCCGCAGTGTCTCTGCGTGCCTCAGAAGTGGCTGGGGATGGGGTGGGTCACATGCTTCCTTAAGGCATACCTGCCCAGGGCTGCAGTGGGAAAAGAGATATGGTTTTCAAGGATTTGTTTTTTCCAGATCCTAGTTAGGGAAGGAGAGATGGTACATCCTTGAAATCTTGGATCCCCAGCACTCACCACACTGCCCTGGCTCTCTCCCTGTAGGAATTGGCCCCGATGGACACATAGCCTTCAATGAGCCGGGCTCCAGTCTGGTGTCCAGGACCCGTGTGAAGACGCTGGCCATGGACACCATCCTGGCCAACGCCAGGTTCTTTGATGGAAAGCTCGCCAACGTGCCCACCATGGCCTTGACAGTGGGCGTGGGCACTGTCATGGATGCTAGAGAGGTAAGGGCGCAAGGGGTCCACCAGCCTTGGCATCTTTTTGTTGTTAACTATAACTATGAAGGTGCCACCTGAATCCATTCTTAAGATGAAGACATTATAAAAAAAAGCTAAAATCCCAGCTGACCCTGTCACCGTTCTTTCCTCTCTAGAGGTAACCATTGTTCCCAGCGTGAGGCAAATCCTTTGAGCACTTTTTCCCTGCCTTTGACCAACCGCCCAGGGGCTGCAGGCTCCCTCGTCCCTGCTCTTGTGCCCCTTTGTGCCGCTCCCAGGCAGAGAGGAGCCAGTACCACTAATGTCCGAATCTGAATTTGGACCTGCCCAGGTACTGAGAGAGGGACTTTCTTGTTCCCTGTTGGTGGAGGTCATTGTTTGAAGGGAGGTCAGGGATGTGTGTGGTTATAACCCTATGATCAGAGATTAATAAATATGACAAAGTGTGATTAAAATATAAAGTGTCTCAAACTGAATTTAGTGAGTTTTTCCCCTAAAAAATTTGGTATCATTTGAACTTGAATTTACTGCAGTTCTAATTTCCTTACTGTCTTTCATTAGAATTTAAGAAGCATTTTCTCTTTCTTTCTTTTTTTTTTTTTGAGACAGAGTCTTGCTTTGTTGCTTAGGCTAGAGTGAGTGCCGTGACGTCAGCCTAGCTCACAGCAACCTCAAACTCTTGGGCTCAAGCAATCCTTCTGCCTCAGCCTCCCGAGTAGCTGGGACTACAAGCATGCGCCACCATGCCCGGCTAATTTTTTTCTCTATATATTAGTTGGCCAATTAATTTCTTTTTATTTATAGTAGAGACGGGGTCTCGCTCTTGCTCAGGCTGGTTTTGAACTCTTGACCTTGAGCAATCCGCCCGCCTCGGCCTCCCAGAGTGCTAGGATTATAGGCGTGAGCCACTGTGCCCAGCCTAGAGCTGAGTTTTTTTGTTTTTTGTTTTTTTTTTGAGACAGAGTCTCACTCTGTTGCCGGGGCTAGAGTGCTGTGGCATCAGCCTAGCTCACAGCAACCTCAAATTCCTGGGCTCAAGCAATCCTTCTGCCTCAGCCTCCCGAGTAGCTGGGACTACAGGCACATGCCACCATGCCTGGCTAATTTTTTCTATATATTTTTAGTTGACCGATTAATTTCTTTCTATTTTTAGTAGAGATGGGGGTCTTGCTCTTAGGTTGGTTTCGAACTCCTGACCTTGAGCGATCCTCCTGCCTGACCTTCCCAGAGTGCTAGGATTATAGGCGTGAGCCACCACACCTGCCTAGAGCTGAGTTCTTTAGGATCCCTTATGCTATTGATATTTTTTAACTATTAAGTGGAGTCTGTACCTTTCTTTTATACAAACAAAAAGCATCACCCCCCAAGTCACGTTAGTTAGTAGGTTTACTGCTCAGAACTGAAAGTGACTGTATTAAGGGACAGCCTTTCTGGGATTGAGTCGTAGGGGCCCCACAGATAATTCCCACCATTGCTTCCAGAGCCACTCTGTGGGTGGTGCAGATTGGGACCTCTCTTTCACAGACTGAAAAGTCACCCAGCTGTTGGGGTAAGAGGTGTGTGCCTTTGCATGGCATGTCTGATCACAGGGCACCTTCACAGTCATCATCAGAGATGCCTGGAAGCCCTGTCAGGTGGTGGTCAGGAGCATGGACTGTGGGGTCACAACCCTGGGCAAGTGACTTAAGCCCCTGGAGCCCCATTTCCTTCCTCAGGTTATTTGGGTGGGTGGGGCACTGATCGTGGAGTATGTTGCATAGCAACTACTTACAGCCATTTGGTACAGCTGGCCTCCTCCTCCCCTCCATCACGGGCTTGTTTTCTGATCCCCAGGTGATGATCCTCATCACAGGTGCTCACAAGGCGTTTGCTCTGTACAAGGCCATCGAGGAGGGAGTGAACCACATGTGGACCGTGTCTGCCTTCCAGCAGCATCCCTGCACTGTGTTCGTGTGTGACGAGGATGCCACCTTGGAGCTGAAAGTGAAGACTGTCAAGTATTTCAAAGGTGAGGGGGGTGGCTCTGGGAGGAGGTGCTTAAGTTCAGGGTGTGCCAGGAGTGAGGAGAGGATCTAGCTTTCATCCTCTGGCCATTTTTATTGACAGTAAAAAATGATCTTAATAAAAATCACAGTATACAGCCATTTCTCTTCCACCCATAACTGCAAGGGTCCATTTTTGGAGATCTGTTTGCTCTGAGGAGGAAAGAAAAATGCAAAGTTGTAGTCCAAGGGCTATGCAGTGATGTCCTTGCAGGGGTGTTGAGCTTCAGGTTTTCTCCTTCCAGTCTCATACAGGCCTTTACCCTGTACTCAAAGAGCTGAACTAGTTATGACGATCTTCTCTTTTACTTTAAAAGGCTATGTACTGGTTTAAGCAGACTTAGGTGAAGATCCTCCTTTACTAAGCAGGTAAATTAGGAATTTGTTTTTTGCTGAAAAGATTAACCTTTAAATAGCCAACTCCCATAGTGATTGAATTTACAAAAGTTCCATGAACTCTAGCACAGAGAATAACAAATTATTTTCCTACCCTTGGGGTGTTTATCATTTGGGAATCACAGAGGAAAGATAGAAGTGTCACTTCAAGGACAAAATTTGAGAGCTCCTGGATGTTGTTGTTGATGATGGTGGAACTCTTGCTTCTACTTGCATTAACTATTTGTTTTTAATTTTTTGTAGGTTTAATGCTTGTTCATAACAAGTTGGTGGACCCCTTGTACAGTATCAAAGAGAAAGAAATTGAGAAAAGCCAGTCTTCTAAGAAACCATACAGCGACTAGCCTGTGCTGGGGCCTACTATCAAGTACCTCATTGGGACAGGCAGGTCTTTCTGGAAATCGTCTTTAGGAGAACAGAATTGTATTTCTTTAATCCAGTATGGTTACGTCAGATAAGTGGATGAAACCTATTGTTCTTGGCTTTCAGGCTAGGAGCCTAGTCATGAGGTTTAGCTACAGGGAGAATAATTATAACTTAATCAGGAAAAAAAAAAAAATCTCTGAAAAATGTATAGCATCATTTTGATGTCTACCAAACCCAGGTTAGGAGTTTTTAACTTTTTGTTATGCCTCAGCCACTGTTGATATGTACAACACACTCCCGTCATAAATTCCTATCCTTATGTGCACCGATTCTCAAGTGGGAGGGAATTAGGGGTTTGTGTGTATTGAACACAGCCTCTCTGGAGAGTCTTGGCAGCTCCTCTATATGGGCCTGCCCCTATTTGAGAATCATTGTTCCAGATTAAGGCACAAGCTCTCTCAGTGCAAGGAAGCAGTCTCTGTTCGGTAACAAGTGCTGTGGAAGACAGTATCCTTGCAGCTGGCCCTTCCATGAACTGGGAGGACTCCTTGGGGGAAGGATCTGGGTGGGTGGGGCCAAAGAGGTGGCTTTTGCTGATAAACTCCAGGGGCCCAGCCACGTCAAACTTCTCTCCCTCAGGGACCCCCCGGCACCAAGAGGGGGAAGGCGGAAGCCCTTTTCCCACCAGAGCCCTATGTTTTTGTCAGAGGTCTCACTGTGGCTCCTCTCTTGTATACTCATTAGTAAGGAGGTGGCCCGCTGGGTCAGTAGACACTGCCACGACTTCAGTGTTGCGTGTAGCCGGAGTGACGTGAGTTCCGTTGCAACACACAAATGTCATGCTCTCCTGCTTCCCTAAGAGCTGAGTGCCAAGACAACATACCGAATGCTTCTAATACTGTTCCCCCACTTAAAACACCCTGCTCTTCTAGCCCTCTTGGGTTCACATGGTGTGGCCTGATGCTCTCAGAGCATCAGGAAATACAACCCTTTTGCCCATTTCTCCTTCACCCCTGGCTCCCAAGATGGTTTGTTGCTCCGCCTTCCTTTTACTCTTTAAGCCTTGTGGAGTGGATGCTGCTGCCTCCTCCCTGTTCTGGTGCCTGTTTGAAGCTACTGCTGCCTCTAATTCTGGGAGAGACCTTTCAGAGCCTGGCTCAGGCCTCTCTGTAAGTGTTGTGTTTGGTACCAGTGTTTCTTCTTTAGCTTTTGTATGTAATTGTGCTGGTAATCTGTTTTAAGCTAATGGATCAATGGATTTGTTTATAATGTGATATTTTCTATTAAATCCAATATTTTCAAATAAAAATCTGTCATTTGTAAATTTCAACCCCCTAAATTTCAAGTTTTCTGGGCTGATAATTATATATTTTAGAAACGGCTGGTCAGCAAAGCCTCAACATGAGTTGCAGGAAGGTCATAAGCACAGCCAACTATCTATCTATTGATCTCTTCTACAGTCATGACAAATAATCAAAAGATTTTATGAAAATGAAGCACCTATGTGAAAAAGAGCAGGAATGAACAGATGAGCAATAAATTGTGATGTTCTGGCTATACTTGCAATCCAAACAGGAATAGCTGTTAAAAAGAATAAGATGGCTAGGCATGGTGGCTCACACCTATAATCCTAGCACTCTGGGAGGCCGAGAATGGAGGATTGCTCAAGGTCAGGAGTTTAAAACCAGCCTGAGCAAGACCCCATCTCTACTAAAAATAGTAAGAAATTAATTGGACAACTAAAAATATAGAGAAAAAATTAGCCAGGCATGATGGCGCATGCCTGTAGTCCCAGCTACTCGGGAGACTGAGGCAGTAGGATCGCTTGAGCCCAGGCGTTTGAGGTTGCTGTGAGCTAGGCTGACGCCACGACACTCTAAACCAGGCAACAGAGTGAGACTCTGTGTCAAAAAAAACAAAAAGGATTTATGATGAGGGACACAAGAACTGCAAGGTATGGAAAAATACATTTAGGTTTTGTTTTTGTTAAAGTCAATGTAATGGACTATCTGGGGTCAATATAACCAATTAAGGAGGTACAAGTAGAAGTTGGAAGAAGGGTTTAATTTTTTAAACAATTTTGAGATATAATTTGCATGCTGATAAAATGTTATTTTTAAATAAAGTCCAGGGATTTTTATCAGGTTTACAGAGTTGTGCAATTCCTTACCACAATTCCTTGCCAATTCTATCATTCTCAGAAGCTCCCTACTTCAAAAAAACTCTAGCCCCAGGTGACCACTGATCTGCTTTGTGTCTACAGATTTACCTTTTTTGGACATTTCATATAAATGGAATCATAAGGTATGACTTGGTGAACCTGGAACCTTGAAAAGATCTGATCTCTTTTCCAGGTCTGTGTTTGCCTGGTGGCCCAAGGGCAGCGTCCTGCTGTAATCATGCTTATGTGGATCAAGTGGGATGTACACCCCTGTGCTAGCTTGGGCCTCTAATACTACTCAGGGCTCCTTAGAGAAGTGCTAATTATGTTTAGGGTCAGGGATCACAGTGGGTCTGGAATATCTTGTTAATGAAAATAAGGGTGCTTTCCAAAATGTCTGAGGCAGTGTTGAGAGGACAAAACAGTCAGTTAAATGGAGTTCCCACTGGCCAGGTTATGATAAGAAAGTATTAGATATAGCTGATTGAGCTGGGCACAGTAGATCACACCTGCAATGCCAGTACTTTCGAAGGCTGAGGCAAGAGGATTGCTCGAGCCAGGAGTTTGAGGTTGCACTGAGCTATATTTACACCACTGCACTCCAGCCTGGGCAACAAAGCAAGGTCTTGTCTTCAAAACAAAAAAACAACAACAGCTGATTGGAACAAGTTGAATTGGTAAAAAGTTTGGTAATCAAAAAGGGAAAAGAGAGGAAAAGATATTAAGTATACACACAGTTGTATTTCAGGAAGAGTAGTAGGCAGAATGTGTTTAAGGTTTTATCACATTTAGTAAAAAGTGGCAAGAGTGTGGACACCAAGGGGTATCACCTTCCTTCTACTAAGAATGTTTATACTACAGAGATGGATACAAAAGCCTGGCCTACTGTTCCACCACAGCCTGCTCTCTTTCTTCCTTCAGGCCTCTACTCAAATGTCAGGTATCAGATCTCTGACCCTCCTTGCCCTGCTCTATTTTCTCAGAACCATTTATTTACCATGGGACATGTATTTTGTTTCCCACTAACTGTAAGCTCCATGAAGGCAGACATTGTTAAATATTGCTCTATTCCGCCCCTCTAATAGTGCCTTGATATGTAGAAGGCACTGTTATTTGTTGACTATAAGCCTGATAATTCTCCCAAGAAGAGTGGTCATACACAAAACCAGGGGGAAATAATAGCATATCGTATGATAATGGATTAGCAAATTGGCCCACTGAGGAGTGCAAATTTGATGCTTCTTCCTTGGGAACCAAAAGCCTTACTGTGAAGTGTGCACAAGTTTCCAGTAAGACAGACTGTGAAAGGACTGAGTTATAGAATAATGGGCAAGTACAACAACATAGTAATTCGGACCTCAAGGGGGCCCTTAAGACTAGCTGGCAATCATACTATGTTATTAAATAATCATACCTAGAGTCCACTTAGTCTCCTCTAAGACTAATTCATAAGGTCTCTAACCTCTACACCAGCTTTTCTCTCAGGTGATGACCTCGAGTCAGAAAAGAACACCCATGAGTCTCCGTCACACACACACACACACACAGTTGAGAGAGGATGCTTCCTTGGCGTGGCGCGGAGGCCGGCGCCCGACAAGTGGGCCTGGTCCGGGAAACCCGCGGACTTGAAACGCAAACTTTGAAGCGCATCCAGCGGAGACGGGACCTCGGACAGAGGTGAGTTCGAGGAACTGACGGTGTGGGACGGGCCGAAAAGCGGTCCCGGGCTGGCTCTTCCAGAAAACATGGGTAATAGTCGCTGCGGCCGGCTTTTTGTGTTGCCTATTATACATAAAATTCCTGTCATGATGAGACTTGGCCGGCGGTAGCAGCTAAGCCAAATAGCCACTGAGCTGACTTGCAAGACGCAGGCTCAGAGAGAAGCAGTGAAGGAGGTACGCGCGGTAACAAGTGGCAAGAAAGGAAGTATAGAGCCGAAAAAAAGAAAATGCCCAGGAGGGAAGCGCCAGC